TTCCTCGATAAAATATAGTGCTATGTGCAAATGCAAAATAGTGTCCTAATAAAAATACAAAATACACCATATAATTAAGGTTCATAATAAACATATGAGCAGAAATGATTCAATGCGCCTATTAATCCATGCGCGTGGACTTAAAAATAAAACCCAGCACAGAGGGGTCGCAGCACAGTGGTGCCGTGGTATAGTTGGATCAAGTATAATGATATCTGACAGTGATTAAAATCACTATAAAAAAAAAACGCTTCAATGCAAATCTTTAGATAGTGTTTAATTTTAAAAAATTGGTGGATTATTCCAAAAGCTACATGATCTGCTAGTTCCTTATTAATATCCTGATTAAGATAATGTATGTCGAATGAAAAAGGGATTATTATAAAATATTATTTCTCATAAAAAATTATGTTGATCCATACACTTTTCTATAAGTTATAGCATTATAATGTTAAAAATATAAAAAATAAAATCGAGAATTTTCACACAATAATAGCATTCGGTAGCCATTTTCACCACGAAGACAAGTCCAGAGGTCTTTTTTTTCAAATTAAAGTATATTACATTAGCTTTGATTTAAAATATATATATAAAAGTGTCAGACCTTTTGGAACATTTTCAAAAGTTAAGTTGAAAAAGTTAATTTTTTGTGAAAAAGTTGTCATTTTAAATCTTCCCCTGTGGGCAGATAAAGGGTTAGATTTACAAAAAAAATATACCAAATGATTAGTAAAGACATCAAGCATCTATATAAAAAAAATTATATTGATTTGTTCATTTTTGAAAAAGTTACGGCAGTTTTTAGTAAAAAAAATTTAAAAAATTTCAAAAATTAGCGATTTTTAAAATTGTAATTTTTTTGGAGGTTTCCCCCATATACGGGGAACGAGAGAAATTTTTTCAATTTTTAAGGGTAATGTCTTCGACTAGATACGATTTGTGATCTTTTGACGTATTGTTGAAAAAAATCCGTTCGGTGAGAGCTGAGAAAAAGTGGTAACAGACACAAAAAAAAAAGAAAGCACATCATAGTTAAACCAATACCTTCTCAGCTTCGCATCGAAGCTTAAAGCTCATAAAACGGTGAAAAATGAACGGATTGAATTGATTTTTTTATCATATCTCAGGAATATCATTGGGCGTATTTCTCGAAAACGGTCGAAATTTTAAAACGCTCACGGGCGAGCGGCAAAAATTTTCCGACCTTCGCCAATACTTTTCCTGGAGTCTGGTAACCGAGTACTTTCGTTGAAAAAAAAAGTTTTGAAAATCCGAGCACGCTAAGTAATTTTCCCAGAAAAGGGTTTTTTTCCTTGTTCTATTATACAGGGTGTTTGTAACAATGAGAACAATAGAAACTCGTTTCCTGCCTTACTAAACACTCTGTATAATAAGATATGAAACTACAAAATACCAATTTAATTTTATTAACATAATTATTATTTTATGAAAAATCTAAGGATTAGCGCTAAAAGAATTACCATGGAAAATTAAAATGTTTGCAAAGAAAAAGATTATTTGATTAAAAAATATTATATATTTGAGTTAAAAAAAAAACTTATTAAACTAAATAAATATTTATAATATAATAGAATTACTAAAATCATTTAAAAATGATTTAAAACTAACGATAAAGGGTTATGATTTTTAGCATATGAAATCGACTTATTGAAATTGTTGATTTACTATTCATTTCTTATAATTATTGATGTTTTTTGATGTAACTCAAAAACAGAGATGAAATACATTTAATTAAACCTCTATTGAATCTTTTTATTTTATTTATTGAGTTGTTCGGATTAAGAATTTTTTAATTTTTTAATTCGAGTATCTAACTAATAAATGTATTTCGAAAATCTACCCTAGCACATCTAGCGATTAAAATTATTAGTGGAACAATAATTCAATAATTTAAACGTTATTAAAATATAAATGCCTTTGACAATGATACTTAATTTCCATCAATACATTTATACGATATTAATTGTATAGCAATGATGATGCAATATATTATTAATATAAATAATAAATCATATTAAAATTTGATATTTAATTGAAATTTTGTAAAATGTTACATTTTTTTATATTTTTACCTACCACTAAGTTTTTAAATCAAGCATTGCTCATACTTATTTTAAAAGTATGAAATAATAACGTCTATATATTTTAAAATAAATACTTCAATATCTAATGTACTTTTTAAGCAACGAAAAAATTTAAATAGCATTATTTTAGGTTACTATTTTAGTATAATTTAAAAATAAATTTAACGTTTTTAAACTTTTGTCAAATGATGTTTTAAAAAAATAACATTTTTTTTTATCTATAAATACATAATTAATATTTTTTTTTTTAGTAATTTAATTCAAATTCATTAAGTGAATAGTTTAAGTGGAAACTAATTATATTTTTCCGTCCTCTTTAACAAAATCTGTTGCTTACAAGAGAAGTGTTAAAGTTAATAGGGTTTGAGTATTCAGTGTCCAATTGAAATTGTAATTTATCATTAACTATTTACAACATTGTTGTAAATAGTTGATATGTTGTAACATATCAACATTGTTTATATGTTTCGAAATCCCTTGGAATTCTACATATAATTTAATATGCTGACTTCTTTATGTCAAAGTTACAATTTCATTAAATTAAAATTTATTATACAAAATTAATTTAAAATAATAATATATTATGGCCATTATAACCCCTTAATAATGATTATTGAATTCACTTTTTATATCTAAATAAATTTATTCCATTAAATAAATAACAATTTATCGTTTTGATTACAAAATAATTATACATTTCTTAGGTCAAACCCTTAGAAAACAATTTTTTTACGCCATTTATTTACCTATCTAGCTTGCTTTAATTATTTTAAATTAATCATTTTAGTAGTTGTAGGATGCCAAAATTTTTTTTGTTAAATGCGCAAAAAAATATTGACCAACTGCACAAATAATGTTCAAATACACATAAATTATAATCTGATATAGATATATGAACAAAAATTTGTATTTTAATAAACCAAAAACTATAATAAAAGATTAATAATGAGTTATTTTTTTAGGATTATTGTTTGACTTATTATAGTTTGATATAAATTACATTGAGCAAACAGTCTCCAAATATATGGATTTATTTTTAATGCATTTAAATTTATATAGGTTAAAAATTAAGAACCATATTAAGTTATTCAATTCTTTACCTTAAAATAATATTCAATTAATAAAAAAAATAAGTTAAACTAAAATCCTTATAATTATTAACTTGTTTTATATATTTTATTATACATATATGCATAATATGCATGTACATATTATATTAAATCAAACAATAATCCTGAATAAATAACTTAATTGTAGTTATTCTTAATATTTTGATATTATTATATGTTTTATAACTTAAATCAGATGTTATATCTAATTTTTTTACATTACATTTTTTTACCTCTAGGTTAATATTATCTATGTAATAATTATTTACTATTGGATAACGACATCGATAAATTATATTTGGCAACATTTACTTGCATTAACCGATAGACCATTATCAATACACCAGTTGACAAATCTGTTTAAGTTTTCTTGCTATTTAATACACACATTTTGAGGTTTTATCACCATAAATAATTATAAATCGTCAACACTAAAAATATTCATTGATGAAATTCGGTATCTAAATCATTTATAAAGATAAAGAAAGAAATAGCTGATAAGTGGCCGTCTTGGGGTACACTAGATTTAACCTCTCTAGGTCTAGATAAGGTGTTAGATACTCTGATTACTTGAAATCGATCAACCAAATAAGAAGCTATTAGCCAATTTACTATTTTATACTTAAAGTTGATTTTCAAGTTTATTAAGTGTCAAACGCTCTTTTTAATTCTTGTATAAATAATGTCAATTTAAAAGTTCAAGGCTACGTATACAGATATCAATTGATAATATGAAGTAAGATTTGTTTCAATAGATCTTTTGGGGCGAAAAACTTGTTGATCGTTCAATGAACTTTGGGCAACTATATTTGAAAGTTGAGGTTTGATTAATTTCACTAATAATTTAGATAATACACTGAATTATCTGATTAGAAACATAAAAGCAATCATCAGATTTCCAAATTGGTGAAATAAAACTAACTTTTTATAACTAAGGAGAAATACCTAAGTGTATAGTTTAATTAATTATGTTGAAAATTGGATAGAATAGTTCATAACGACAATAATTTAAAAATAGGGACTTATCGTGCCCGGCTTAGCCGGGTACCCCTACCGGATTCAGTGGCCTACTTATGATGACGGTCCCAAGAGGCTTACGCGGCGAAGGCGAGTAAGGCACGTAGGGCTCCGGGTCTGGTGCGGAACCCCAGCTAGGTGGAGCATAGTATATCTCAATTTAAAAATTATTAATTACTTATCTAGTTAAAAAAATTGACTTTTTGACTAGTACTTCAAATTTTATTAACATTATTATACCTAGACAAAACAGAGGTACGGCCTAGAAATATCTAATTATATACTAGGTGATTCTTTTATCTTTGACCATTAATTAAACGGCAATAAAAATAATATTAACCATTTTTTTATTGATTTCTTTTAGTTATATTTTTCTCAATTTAGCAGTCGTAAAGTCTTTTTAAATTCATTTCATTTAAGTTCTGAGCAACCTATTTTAAAATTATTTTAAAAATTGAAATTCATTATTTATTTGTTTTTTCTGAATACGATAATTGTAATAATAACACATATTTTTATGAATAATATTGATATTATTTTGAATGTTAAATTAAAGTTTATGAAGTTAGATTACAGTATTCACTTATATTCATATTTTTCTAGAAAAATATTATTTTGACCCATTTTTTTTTTAAGTAATAAGTTATCTTCAACCTAAAAATATATGCGTCATAATAATGTTTTTCTTAAGTTATTTTCAACGTAATACATTTTATAGTTTTTCTGTTATGTAAATAAACCTTTAGTGGGAATTTATATAAATACTAAATACAAAAATAAATGATATGCTATTCAATGCCATTTATTCAATTTGTAGAATATATTCTATAATTTAAGTAAGTACATTGTTTAATGATGTTGGTTCAGAGAATATCTACTTTATTTTTGTTTATGCATGTAAGTATAAATTGTTCTTAGTCTAGGTAAATAAATTATGAAATTATTCTAGTATATTAAATCTATTGCACCTATGAAACTTTATGTGATTGTTAACATTTATATATAACAGCTATCTATCTTCGTACGATAAGATAAATGATATATTTGTAACTTTTTTAATAATCCTTTTAAAGTTATTCAAATCTATTATAGATACAATCAATTATTTGTGGATATTTCGAATTAGTTGACGAGTTCAAAATATGCTTAGAAAGTCATGATACGGTACATAATGTTTATGAAGATCCGAGTAAGTATTATTATTAAATTATTATAAGAAACTATAAATTATTAATTTGTAGTTACTACCGTTATGAAGCAAAATCAAGTAGGAAGGATGATTTATTAATCAAATATTTAAATTTAAATTTAGAATTTACAGACATATTCGAAGAAAAATTAATAGTGTGGCAAAGGAATTTTGCTGATCGTCAAAAATTTGAAGATATTATAACTGCTCAAAATCATTTTAGATCTATAATGACACTTACAATATGTCCACCGGAAAACAATATAGAAAATTGTGTTACAAACGTTGAGAGTTGCTGTAATACTTTCGTTGAAAAAGTATATACAATAATAAAGGTTATTATTAATAATAGTTAATAGTTATAGTATATTTTTAATCCTTCTATGAAAGCTTACTATAAAATTAATAGTTTAATTGATGACACTTAGTATATCTAATTTAAGCTATATTTAATATTAATGATATTTTGACGTTTAGAATATAATCTATATGGTGTATTGGGAAATTCTAAACTATAACATATATACTATTAGTTTATCGTAAACTTGAGTTTAATTGTTATAAATATTAACTACTTTGATAATTAAGTATATTATTTTATTTTACTTAATTTTTAACTTTATATTTTGTTAGATATTGCATGATAGTTTTGTCGAAAATGCTACATCAAAGGAAAACTTTAGACAATGCCTGAGTACTCTAAACACTATAGATCAAAACTTTATTAATGTGTTAAATGTTAAAGTATTTGATTCTTCGAGTAAGCTACACGTATTTTATTATTCAATTACATATACAAAATGGTTGATAATGTAATTAAAACTCAACTTAGACAGGTTAATGTAGTACTGTACGGCGTAATATGTATCGTATCATACTCTTAGATATTGTTATATACTCCACGTATTCAGAATTTTAATAGTTACAAAAACACTAAAAAATAGCTCTCCATGACGGAGCCTAAAATACGTATTGTTCTTAAAACTCTTTTTCTCGAGTTGTACAAAGGGCAACAAGGTCAACTAAGTATAAAATTACTCTTGGTATCACTGAAAAGATTGTAACCACTGACACTACCAAAAATAGAGCAAAAAGCTAAGTTCGACTGGCATTCCTTAGAATATTCCTGAGACTTATTTATGGCAAGTTAGTTGGTTTATACCAGCAAAATACAAAGGGGTTGAATCCACCCAACTAAATGAATTCTATGCGTTCGATGTATGTTTCCTACATCCTGATACTGTTACACACAAAACAAAATATTAATTTAAAAAAAGTTGGATTGGTTTTATAATTCAAATTTAAATGACATAATTAAAAATATAAACAACATTAAATGTTGTAAAATAAATTAATAAATAAATAAATTTTATTTTACAAATTTTATCATTTATAATTCAGTAATTCATATCCAATACATTTAATATTTTGTATTTTTTTATTAAGTCATTTTACAATATCTGACACTATTACTATTATAATGAAATCAATGATTCCTATATTGTCTAAATTTATCCTGGCAAAGTATACAGGTGATTGAAATCTGGTAAGACACTCATTTTCTCAGAAAATATTGAGAATTTTAAATTATATTATAGAGAAAAAATATCAAGTTCAAAAAACTCTACAGTAATATGTAGTCAAACTATTACTTTTTTCATCCCTTCAAGGATAAAAACCCTAATTTATAATTTGCTTAAATGGGAACCCTTATTTTAAACTTTATAATATGATAGAAAAAAAAATTACAAACAATTGTGTTCTTATAATTTTTTTTATCCTATTAACCGTTCGTCTGTTACAGCTTAAGTGATTTTAGGACAAATTTCTATTGTCATTTTACTGTATTAAATATAGAAGTCATTATTTTTATTTGCTGTTGCATAAACCAAATTATATTGATAAAGTTATGACAGGTAAATTAGCTATAAAAATTTACTACGCACTAAATGAGTGATAACAATAATAGATTCAAATCGGGTTTTCGGTGTATAATTAATAGCGAAGTCTATGGTTTTGTAAGACAAAAGGATCTAACAAAAATACCGGTTACACCGCTACCGTTATTATGAAACGTTATAAATGACAATATTTTTTCTGGAAGTCAAAATCTTTAAACAATTATAAAACGTAAACGGTTGTTTGGATAAAAAAATTATGAAAACAAAATTCTTTGTAATTTGTTTTTTCTATCATATTATCAAATCAAAAATAGTGGTTTCCATTTAAATTATAAATAAGCATTTTTATCCCTGAAGAGATAAAAAAAAAATTTATTTTACTTCATATTATTGTAGAGTTTTATAAATTTAATAATTTTTCTTTTTACAAAAATTTTAAATTCTCAATAGTTTCTGAGAAAATAAGTGTCTTACTAGATTTAGTATTATAATTTATATTATACGTTGTATAACACTCGATCAATGTATCACACTGCCCGTAATTCTACATTGGCCATAACATATATATAATTTTAGTAGATGGATAGAGACGGATCTAGGTTTTTTTTAATTAGATGCTCAAATATGAACATATTTATTAACAATCAATATTATCAACTTATAAAATTCACATTTTCCGACATTAACTTTAATTTTAATAATTTCCCATACCTTTCTTCGGATTTCCAGAATCCCCTCATTAAGGCCCCAGTGACTATTCATCAATGGTAAGAACAAAACATTTTTGAGAACATCATATTATTTTATACTGATAAAAGGTCATAAAATTGCTATATTATATTTAGTGCAAAATCGTTTGATTTTGTGAGAGTATTTCAGTTCCTATGGCACTTTAATCTACCAGTGCGTGTAGATAGTTTATTTTACAGGAAATTTAATTAATAATTAAATCAATATAAATAATAATAATCTATATAAAACTATAATAAATTTTTATATTAATTATATTTCCTTCAAAAGTTAAATTGAAATAATTTTGTTACAGCAAATAATTTTAAAACTACATTTGAAGAAACCGCAAATACATTGCTAGGTTATACTGTTACTAAATTCAAATACTTAGCAGATGCTAAACGCCATCATGGTAATGTCATGAAAGACATAATTTGTGAAGAATTTCAAGATGAAATGAAATATGATTGTGATATCTTGATTCAACAATGTAGCGACTCTATTGTAACGGAAAAGAGAAATGTTATTTCATTTTTATAGTATAGTAAAATAGGGTAACTTTAATTTTAAGTGCAACTTTGAAAATACAGTTGTTCAGCAGTTGGAAAGAGCGCACTACTTGTAATAAAAATACCTTACAACTCACTAATAATAATCATAATTATTTATATTTTATGGATACAATATGTAAAACAAAATATTTTCCAAAATATTCTCTAATGAATAATGAAAACGTTCTTTGACAATTGTTATTAGAGAAATATAAATATTGTCGCAACTAATAAGTAGGTGACTCATAGTAGTTTCCCTTCTGACGAAAGACGCTATCTATGCTTGCATATTGCATACATCTTTTCTAGTCATTTTTAATATTTTGGTTTCAAACAATATTAATTAATTAAATTACAGCACTCTAGCACCCTCAATATTTTATTTGAAAAACAGCATCAACATTTTACAATGCATTTACATAATTCATAAATATTCCATCAAACTAAATCTAAACATACCAGGTAATTTCGTGTGCGAGGGGAGTATTTCTTATATAGTTACAAACGCGGCATAGCTTAACGTAACAAACATGATAAGTAAGTCCTGGATTTTGGTCCATATAGAATATTTTTTAGGATTATCTTAGACATTGCTCTTCAAGCATAAAATAATAATGTTTCATTTTGTTAGATTATACGTCAAAACAAATTGATTTTATTCTAATTAAACCTATTAGGGCTGAACATTTGAAAAATCCCTTAATTTTAGACATTTATTATTATATCTAAAAATTGCGCTAACGTTAAAATTAACTTAAAAAAAAAATTTTTTTTTTACATAACTTCTTAGAATATTTTAAAACATTGATACTAATGAAATTTTAATAAAGATAATACATTTTTTTTTAGCATTCTTTCTATGAAAATTAAATTAATAACCCAAGTATAGATTGGTTAATAGGGCCAGCAACTACTAACCAGTTTTAAATCAAATTACTACAACATTACCGACCCCCTAGTCAAATATAGTGACCCTCTGCGTCTCAAAAATGTTCGTTTATATCAAATATATAGTATACAGCTTCCTATGAACCTACAAGTCTTTTGCCATATTTTTCAAAAATATGCGAAAAAAACAATCTTATAACAAAACTAAAACATTGAACATAATAACAGTGACTGATATAATAATCTTTATTTTTTTTTTTATTCAATTCTGTAAGTTATTTTAATGTATAAATTTATTACTATATAGTCTGATTTATTAATTATACTAGCCCTTATTTTTTCATTAAATCATGATTATTTCATAAAAATGTATAGATTAAAATTCAATTTTATTTTTATAGATTTTAGGGCTAACTTTTGGCTACTCTTTAATTCCTCTTTAATTTACTAAAATCTCTTAATGACTCAAAAATTGTAAGCTCTGATTTTACTACAATTCAAAATATAATTGATTTTCTTAGATGAAATACTAAATAATTTCCCTCTTATGGGCAAACCCATTATTTCTAATATTACCAACCTCGGTCATTAAAATATTTTATGGATCAAAAAGATATTTTTGAATTATTTTCGTGTCAAAATAAATTAAAGTTAAACTCCTCATTGAAAGTCCTTTGTTTATCCTCTAACTGGACTAAACAGTGACAAGAATACATGTCATACCTTTACTAAGAACTTCCAAGAACTATTCTCTTTAAGAGAATAGCATCTCATCATAAAATACATCGAAGACACTACAAAAATTATTAATCCATAAAGCTAACATCTAATTACAACATATTTAACTGCTACTGCCAAAACGTGAGAGATTTAAATAGTAAATTTAATTTATTAATGTAATGATTTTTTTTAACGTAAAAGTGGCAGTAGATCAATACTCAAACCACTACTTTTTTTATTAATGTTGAACATTTTAACCTATTACAAAATTATCTCACTATATTAAAGTTTCTTTAATTTACGGTATTTTTAAATTCAACATTAATTAATCAAAAATATATATAAATAAATGAAATATCTTTATATTATTTTATATTATAATATTTTACATATTTTCAATGTAATTTTTATTTCAGGTTCAGTCATTAGATAATACTCCAGATGATCCAGTAGAAAGAATAAAACAATGCTTGGTTAACGCTGAATCTGGTTATGGCCTTTATGATGTTGAAAGTATACCTCGATTTTAATAATAAAATACTTAAAACTAATTTTTTGATAGTCTCCATTTCAACAGATAAATAGTGTTATCATTTTTTTATTCAACAATTTGTTTTTTAATTGTTTTATAGGTATTTCAAAAAAATATATAATATCATCATTTTTACATTTCTTTTTGAAATTATATACGATATTTTATACGGTTCTAAAATATATATATATATTATCATAAAAACTTAATGAAATTTAAAGAAACATTAATCTTAAAGAAACCATTAACAAAATTATTTAATATTATTTTATTTTTCAATTAAGGAAGTTGTTCAGGATAAACTGATCTGTTTATTTAGAGTGATCTCTCTAAATACACAGGGTAAAAATAATCTAATTAAAAAAATTACTGGTTGATAAAACTTTTGAACCAGCACTTCGGAAATTATTCTCCCTTTAATATTTATACGGGACAAAGAATAAGAAGATTAAATAACTAGTAATAAAAATATTAGCACTCACTCTTCACTTATAGTAATTATTTTAAATTATTTATAACTTCTAAAATATAAGTTCAATGTTATCGATCAGTCATTTTCTTAATTAGATAATTATTTATTTTATAAGTTAACTAAACAAGTATGTTTCTATGTAGGTAAAAAAAATACCTCGTGATAAAATTAATACATTCTCAGTTTCGCTTCGAAACTAATAAAGTTGATAGCCTTTTAAGTTATAAGGAATGATTCTAGAAAGTCATTATTAGCTGATAAGTCAAGAAATATATGTGACTATATGAAATCAAAATTTTTTTTCTAACAATGTATTTATTTTGTGAATAATCAAGTGGTTTATGAAAACCCAAACACTCTCTCTATATATATATATATAGAGAGAGAGAGTGGCCCACCACTCACTGACAACTTAAATAACTTTTGATCCAGTTAATATTTTTAGCTGATTTTTTTTTTAAATAATAGTTATACGTTAGGTCTATAGCTATATCTCAATAATTAATTTTTTTACATTTTATTAAAAATATTAATAATTTTTAAATTTTAAATAAAATGTAAAAAAAAAATCTAAAATAGCTATTTTGTAGAGTAGAATTTAAGAAAAATTTTAATAAAAAAATATCTTATTGATATTCAGTAGTAAATATTCTGTAGCATTTTAAAGTTTGTGAAAATTTGAATTTTCATGTATTATTTTACGGTATTAAACATTGAAATACGTATTGAGAAAAGGACAGAAGAAAACACTATCTTTTCGTGATTACTACAATTTACAACCTTGGCATTAATACCATGATAAGAAATTTGATAAGGCAATTATTACTTATCACTCTCATTCAAAAGTATGTCATTTTCATGGAAAAAGTTACACACCTCCAAATTAATTAATAAAAATAATTAATATTTTTAATAAAATGTAAAAAAATTAATTATTGAGATATAGCTATAGACCTAACGTATAACTATTATTTAAAAAAAAATCAGATAAAAATATTAACTGGATCAAAAGTTATTTAAGTTGTCAGTGAGTGGTGGGCCACCCTGTATATATATATATTGTAAATATTATTTATTTTATTGTCTCTCAATTGAGTTTATTGATGGTTAAACTATATTAAACATAATTTCGGTTGGCCCAACTATATAGTTTTTTTATGTTAGCTACTTATATTTTGTTAACTGTTAAATATTTCACTAGCCGAGAAGGTTGATTATTTTATTTAATCTTTTCGTTACAATGTTTAAAAAAATGAGATTGTAAATTTTAATTGAATTTCAGATCAATTAGTCTATCCTGATGTGGATGAAGAATTAAAAATGTGGGATGAAAAATTTTCAGAAGAGGGTACCTCTAAATATACAGATAGAATAAAAAAAAATATGAAAGAACGATTTTGTTTATTGTTACATACGTTAGACAGAAATATTTGCGAATATGAAGTTATAAAATGTTGTAACGATTTTATAGCAAGTTATAACGAAGAATAGAAACTTAATATCCAAAGTACCTTTTTCATGAAAAAAATCATTTTTCTCTACATATTTAATTTTTCTGTTTAACAATTTTTTAGATTGAATACAAAATATTCGAAATAGTTAATTATAATTTATATTAATTTTACAGTAGTTCTGTTATAGTCTTTTAATAAGTAATGTTTATTTAAAATTATTTTAAATTTACAAATAATGTAATGATTAACAAATAATTAAAAAAAACTCTTAATATAAATTGTTACTAACAATCAATACTTTACATTAGTACTACCACCAATATTGCGGTTTACAAAACGTAATATCACAGTTATTATTAGGTTACATAAATTCTATACAAAACAATTAAACTATAAAAATAATTTCGATTTAAATTGTTTGTAAAGAATTATTCAAGTTACTTAAAAATGAAAATCTAATGAAGGTAACATTGGTTCTGAAAAATCACCTTAGATTATTTTAATTGTTTTAAAAATGTAATCCGTGCGAGAAAGTCTGATATGCAGTATAATTGTTATTTACTTTTAACAGAGATTTTATAATTTGGAATATTATAGACTGGTAAAAACACACAGAAATAAAGTTAAAAATTATTAAATTACAGAGTAAAATTATTTAATTTTGTAATTGAAATCTATTATCATATCTATCCTAATTCGACAATATAAAAAAACATTGGAAATGAATGATTTTAATTATCTATATGGAAAATATGGGCTCAGTAATTTTTTAAATGATAAAGTGAAAATTTATTCAATTTTTTAGGGTAATATCTTTAACTAGATAATAGTTATGATCATTTGATGTATCGTTAAAAAAGTTGGTCAAGTGAGTGCTAAAAAAATAAAAAAGAGCCCCCAAAAGAATAATGTAGTAAAAAAACTTTAATATGAATAAGAAATTTTCACCATAAAAACAAAATAAAGTTCAAAATTATGTTTTTCATAATAAAGTATAATGCGTAATCCAATATACGTTTGGGCGGGTACACAAAACGTTCCCGATAAGTAATATTAGTACATGTGTTGAAAATATATTTAGTTCACTTTAGCTTTTGCGAATATTTCACCAAGACGGATGCTTGACGCGTAACGGTCGACGAAAATGTTATATAAAACAAAACCAACCAAAAGGTAGAAAAGTAAACACGGAAACGGATTCGAGTAACCGGTTAGGTGTACGTCGTAAACGGAACAGAACACAATATCGGTAATCCATATTCGGCGGCGGCCTTATCTCAGTGTTAGGGCGGGGAGACAACCGATTGTCATATTAATAGCTGGACGGCTGACATCGAGAGAGACACGGGCGAGCACCAGCCTAGAGCAAAAGGTGGTGCCGTGTCAAGTATATTACATAAGCTTTAATTTAAGATATATATTAATGTGTCAGTATTTCCGGAACTCTTTCAAAAGTTAAGTTGAAAAATTAATTTTTTGTAAAAAAGTTGTAATTTTGAATTCCTTCTTGTAGGTTTATATTTTTATATTTAACAACAATTAACTTATAAATACAGATTTATAAATAAAATATACAAAATGACAGGAAAACTAAAAAAAAAAAAAAATTCCATATTCATCTATCACTATTTATTAGCCTTAACATATAAAAACATATTTTCAATTAAATATTTCAAGTCGCACAACAATGTTATATGATTTAAATAAGGAAAAGTATATTGAAAAAAGTTATTTATTTGGATGGCTTGATAACTTTTTAAAAATTTAAACACACGGAAATTTTTCTTAATATTCATAATAAATAAAAGAAAATGCTCTAAGGTTTGTTGAAAATTATAATTATTTTACATCATAATATTTTTTTATCGTTTCAACTGAAGATAATAAAATAATAATTGAATACAGTATTTTTAAAAAAAAATTTTAAGTATTATAATATCTAATACATTTGTTTTCATATGCTAAAATAACTATATAATTTTAAAATAAAATTATAATATATTAACAACATATAATTGAAATTGGTCACTCGTGGCTAATTTTAATTATAAAAATTTTTAGCATATAAATTGCAAACCAAAAAATAAAGTTAATCTTAAAATAACAAAAAAATAGATTTTAAATGAAACATATTTAATTAAGATATGACAAAGTACAGCAAAAATTTGTCAAATACATATAACTCACTGAAAAGGCCAATAATTTAAAAAGAAATATATGGAACAAAAATGTATTGCTTAAAAAACATTTCAGATATTAACAAAAATAAATACTTTTGATAAAAAAAAATTATAACAGAACTGAGTACACGTAAATAGATAAAAATAATTTTATCATTTGATAAGCAAACAATTGCTTAGTAAAATTTAAAACTGAATAAATCAAAAAAGTTTTATTAAATTAAAAAAAATAATAATGGCATCGGAATGTATTAATGAAAGTACTTTATAAATAAACATTTAAAATAAAAATTCAAAAATATTTGCCATCGTATTTAAAATATTTAAGTTATACGACTTTAAATAATCTTCAATAATTGGCTCATTTAATTCATCAATAACCATAATATTTTCATTTTCAACGTTTATGAGATTTTCAGTATATGAAATTCTGCTGAAGTCATTGTCAGATTTTTCCGAATCTAAACTGCTTATATTCCAATCATCATTGGCCAATATCTGTGATACATAACTTTCAAATTGTTGAATGTGAATATTAATTTCCGTATTGTCAGAATCATTAAGAACCATTCATATCAAATCAACTAAGATTCATATCCGGAATCAAAATATTCATCATCATTCTCGACATAATCATCATCTTCAACGACATCATCGAAGTCCATTTGATAACTCATTATATCATCTTCTTCAGAAAAACTGTCATCAATGTTTTCAACATTGTCATGCTCATCCAAAGTATAGGTATTCAAAATAACAGGAAGTTGTTGATGAATGACATCAATTGAGCTGTTTCTTTCTAAATAAATGTGGTCATCAATGTGATCTTCTTGTTTATTGTACAAGTCAGATGAATCGTAGCCATTTTCTTCTGTCAACAACGAAGAGGAAAATTCTTCGGAATTCGTGTTAGATATCTTATGAAAGGCTTCATAAGTATGTTCATTATCATCACCCAAAGAAAAACTACGCATAACGACTGGAATACGTTCAGGAACAACATGATCGTTCTCTTCTACTTGACCACCACAGTTTTCCAACATATTGGACTCCGATTCATGGCATTTTTCTTCTGTAAATGATGAAGTGGAATCTTCTTCGGAGTTCATATTTATTCTATTGTATATGATCTCGTCGTGAAATATTTCTTCATTATTAACTAAACTGAAGGTATCCAAAATAATCGGGTTTTGTCCAGAAATATTAATGTACCCGTTTTCTTCAACTTGACAATAATCTTCTTGCGAATTGCTTAAAACTGAACTTAAAGTTGTTGAGTTAATGTCACTTTGATGATCCCAACATCTAATTTTTTAATCATAGTTAAAATTAAATTATTTTTAAAAAAATGCAAATTTTGTTTTGCAGCGTATTAAACAAATATATATAAAAGTAATTAAAATAAAGTTGTTCAAAATAATAAAAAAAAAATCTATCAATATTAAATGTAAACTTAAAAAAAAATGACTGCAAATAAAAAGTTGAATTTTAAAAATTTTACTTTCTTTCGGAAAACTAAATAATTTAATAAATTAATATATTTACGGGTTTTTTTTAGCTCTTTGATATTCATTGTAATCATCGCTAATTTTTCTTTTAGAACTAGACTGGCCAGCACTTGAATCAATTATATACTTTCCACTTGCTAACTTCTTCGGCGGTGAATTTAATGTTGTAGTTTCATCGTCATTGTTAACTTTTCTTTTTCCATTAGAATGGTCAGTTTTCGGATCAACTGAATTATGTTCACTAGAAATATTGTTTGTCTGTGAGTTCGAAGCTAACGATTCATCCTCGTCACATTTTCTGTTTTTCATGTTTGGCATTATAAAAAAAAACGTAATGATCACTTGAGTAATCTCAAAACTTTGTACAATTTACGATAATTTAGAAAACTATACAATAAATTTACGTACTTAAACACAAAATCTCTTACTCACAAACAACTGAACGGAAAAGTTTAATTTATTTTTCTGTTTAGATTATACTTTACTGTTGTCAGAGTAATAAAAATATTAATCTAAATTTTAACCAATATTTATTTATATAAATTCTTAAAATAATTAAATGAACAATTTCCCTATTCTAACGAATGAATGTTTTCTTTTGAATTGAATCAAATATTATTAAATTAAAGTTTTAAAGTATTTAAGAGTTGCATTTGATAATTATTAGTTTTTTATAAAAAAAAAAAAACAAAACAATAATCACGTAAGTTGTGTTGTTAANTTTTTTTTAAAAAAAAAAAAAAAAACAATAATCACGTAGGTTGTGTTGTTAATAAGTTATTTACTAGTTTAATGAATTTTAAAAGTACTTTTTACTTATTATGTAATTATTTTTATTTTTTTCTCAAAATAAGAAATTATAGTGCAGAATTTTTAATTATTACTATGTCATTTGTAAAATTAAAGAAAACTAAAAATTCTTAAAAAATTAAAATAAAATCTCATTTGAAATTAACTCGTTTCTTTTCCTTTTAGCTTCGATGCGAAGCTGAGAAGGTATTGGTTTTACTATGATATTTTTTTTTATGTCTGTTACCATTTTTCTCAGCTCTCACCGAACGGATTTCTTTTAACAATATGTCAAAAGATTACAAATCGTATCTAGTCAAAGACATTACCCTCAAAAATTGAAAAAATTTTCTTCGTTCCCCGTAAATGGGGAAACCTCCAAAAAAATTACAAATTTTAAAATCGCTAATTTTCGAAATTTTTTCAATTTTTTTTTACTAAAAACTGCCGTAACTTTTTCAAAAATGAACAAATCAATATAATTTTTTTTTTTATAGATGCTTGATATTTTTACCTATTATTTGGTATACTTTTTTTTTATAAATTTAACCCTTTACCTGCCCACAGGGGGGATTTAAATGATAATTTTTTTATAAAAAATTTGCTTTTTCAATTTAATTTCTAGATTCATTTTTCAGTGTTTTTAAAGTGGTTATAATCAATGTTTTTGCTTGCAAAATGCACATTCCATTAGTTTATAAATATTTAGAGAGTAGAGTTGTATTTTGAAATATTTTTAATAATAGTTGAGCAGTTATTATAGTTTCAAAGTTGGTCAAATCTTTTAAATATCTAGTTGCTTTATACTTAGCATCGTTATTAAAATTTTCAGTATTTTGGACAATCAATTGAAAAGCTCGGAATGTGGTTATAAAGAGTGAATTAAATAAGGATCATTAAATATTCCAAAAAACTTTTTCAAATCAATATCTTTCGCCCACCAACTCGTTTCACCTATTAAGTTTAAAACACAACTATCTGTAGTAGAATTTCTCCAAACATCCATTCTTTTAAAAGACTCTGGAAAGAACACAACGCATGAGTTTAATGGGCCAAATAATGAAATTGCTTGAGTTGTTATAGATGCAATATCTATCAATACTAAGTTTAGTTTATCTGCGTAGCACCAAACGTGAAATTGTTTAGGTGATTCTTTTGTAA